ATGGATACATCTCTCAACACCCAGATGAAACCGAACTGGAAGCAGATTTATTTATTATAACACAATGGGCGAGACGATAGTGACGTAACAGCAGCTAAGGGTATGGAGGAAACTACCTAAAATAACATTTTAGCAATCATAGGAACAATTTAAGCTAAAAGGCTCGCACGGGAAGATTTGAAATGAGGCATCTATCCTTGATGTTGTATTAGTGGCTGTGCATTATTGCGTAAAAAAGGTATATTTGTACATAGCACTTTACAAGACCAATCCTACAGTATGTGAGGGTTTAATATTAAAATTTAAATAATTTAGTGTATATTTTGGAAAAGATAACATATGGAATTAGAAACCAAAGACACATAGCTGATAATAGATGGAGAAAATTGATTGATTATCGCAAAAACAAAACCTAAAATACAACTTCAATGCTACTTTTTTACTAGGGCCAAAACACTTCACTTTACTGCATACCTGCTGACTGTATGTCAAGTATGTATGTTTATGTATATGAGTATGTGTGTATCTATATAAGAACATGGGAATAGGTATTTATATATATTTTTAAATCATCCCCTTGTTTCCGACCCCTTAACGAATTATGAATTGAAGCAAGGGGAAGTGCCTGGAAACAATTATAAGGACACTTCCTTTGCCTAAAACACATGAAGGACCACTTGTGTCAAAAACTGATCCGTATGAATGATATATCAAAGGATTTACCCTCTGGAGGCTCCAGTGATGACGGGCCGTTGGGCAGGAAGCCGGTCATGGCCCACTCTATCATCTGTCGGGTCTGAGTCTCCAACCCCTCCGCATCTTCGCTCGTATCACAGGAGGGAACGGGCCGCCCCGCACGCACACTGCCCACCTACACACACAATACACACAGAGAGGGAAAGACATGGGATAATAAGAAGGATAAATATGGAATTGATGACTGAACTTGAAGTATCAAAGGCAAGGCAAGTTTATTTATATAGCACCTTTCAACACAAGGCAATTCAAAGTGCTTTACAGAAATGAAAGACATTAAGAAACAAATTATGAAATGGCATTTAAAAACACTCATTTAAAAGCAAAGACAATAAAACATGAATAACAAAGGGACATTCATTAAAGTTACAGTGCAGTGGGAGATACACACATGGTATAAATAGTTTTCTTTGACCTCACGTTCTTTCTACTTTCTTTTTTCTTACTCAAAGTACAAAATCTTTCACCACTTGTTTATAATGTTAAAAAGGTTTGAGTGAATAACGACTCCGTGGAGAAGACAATGACCATGTGTTCTGAATTACTTAGAAAAACAAAACTAAGCACTGCTGGATCGAAGTGTATCCCACAGAAATATGAGATGTAGACACATGTTCCCACTTAAAAACATAGGGCAGAGCTAAAAGAAAATAACACCTCCAAAAATGCAGAGCTTGTTACATAAAAAGGAAGTAGGAGCAGTCAAATGTGAACTTTCACTTTGGTCTTTTAGATGTTCATTTTATCTATGAAGGAAACACATAAGTATAGCTACATGATTGATCTCAAACCAGACTTCAGAAAGAATCCTGAAATGGATAAAAAAAAATTAGGTTTTTTTTACCTGCAGAGCCTCGAAAATGGCTTTCCGGTACATGGACTGTTTGTTGTAGGAGGGTTGGTGGAAGGCAGATGAGAAGGAGCTCAGAAGCATGAGCTTCTCCACACACACCTGCAAAACAAACACATCATGAGGTCCTGGAAATCCTTCACTACGGTCATTTTGTTTGCATCGGTAACAATATGTATTTTAAGGAAAGACGTCTCATCAAGGCACGGGACTTTAGGAAAGTAAGAGGAATTCAAATAAGATTTAAAATAGGAGAAAATATGGAACTAGTATAAACTATTACTAAATAAAAAGCAGAGAAATGTTAATCAGTATCATAACAAATTCTTTAGGAGTATCTGACTTATGGTTTCTAATTAAGCAATAGCTCACGACAGGCCGTGGTATATGGTCATTATATCACAGTTAAGGGGCGTGGTTCGGCACGACGCAAAGCGGAGAAGTAACGTGGCAGAAACCCCGTTACTTCTCCGCTGTTTTCTTGTCCCAGTTTGAAAAGCCCCTGCTGTATACGGACTTCTTTCTGCAGATGTGAGCGTTCTTAACAACGGTCAATAAGTCCTTGCTGCACATTATCCCTTACATGTTTCCATCTTAAGCTTTGTTAGTTAGTTAGTTAGTTTCGTAACGGACGTAATGTAACGGTTGTAACTTTTCTCAGACGCGGAGGGATACTGACTTGTGAAAAATAACTACAATTCTACCCGTGATATACGCTCATTATATCACGGCTGAGAACCAATCAGATTGCTTGATTTGACTTGTCCGTTTTATAAAATCACATTAGATATCAGAATAAATAAATTAGATATTAGAATAAATCACACAAAATAAAATCGAGGTTATCTTGTTTCTGATAAAAACCGATGTAGCTTTGAATTAAAACAAACATTGCTTTTACTAAAAGTGTTTTCTGGTGTCTATAAAAGCGTTAAATTAGAAAAGTGGAGCTCAGGTTGTTGAAGACATTAAGCTTTGGCATTTTGCATTTTAGCTATAACATACATATTCTCTTTTTCTCTCTGTGGAAGGACATGAAATGTGATTCTACTGGAGATTAAACTGCTCTGTGTACCAGTAATCAAATCATTTTATTCCAAGGGTTTCCTCACCACAGAGAACTTTCCGTCTCCGAACCACATGACCCAGCGAGTGCCGTCTGCAGCTCTGCTCCGGCCGCTCATCCACCAGGACACGATCCTGCCGGGCCACCAGGAGAAACCCCGCAGCTTCCCGAACACCAAGACACCGATTCCAAAACCCCGGCCGTCCTGTCAGCGCAGAACACAAGACCAGTTAAAACCAGAACTCATGATATAAGATACTATAGCTAGCATTCTCTATGATACATAATTATAGACTCAAATCTAAAGTATTGTTTCAAAAGTAATTCAGTGGAGACAGTTTCGACACTGCTACATACGAAAACTCTTTATCTCAATCTCGATCTTTATTTAAAACAACCTCAGTTGACCAAAGTGCTGTACAGGGAATAAA